TGTTTCGATAACATCAATAAAGGTTAGCTGTCTGTCTGTCTGTTTCGATAACATCAATAAAGGTTAGCTGTCTGTCTGTCTGTTTCGATAACATCAATAAAGGTTAGCTGTCCGTCTGTCTGTCTGTCTGTCTGTCTGTCTGTCTGTCTGTCTGTCTGTCTGTTCCGATAACATCAATAAAGGTTAGCTGTCTGTCTGTCTTTCTGTTTCACGGGTCTAGCAGAACCGACTGATTGTTTCACGCTTTCATGCATTTTCAGCCAATAAGCTTCTTTCTCGTGGCATCGTTGCTCTGATTGGCCCAATGACAAGTGCAGCCATCCCAGTGATTGGACCTTTAACATCAGCTGCGCATGTGCCACAAATTTTACCGCTGACAAGTTGGGATACCTCGGCTTTGAACTCACAAGAGTATGGTTATCTAGTACGCATGACCCCATCAGAAAAACTTAAGGCCAAGGCTTTGGTAGATATTATCATCAACTATAAATGGAAGAAAGTTGCTGTTCTTGGTCTTCGTGGCGACGAAAATCGAGAATGTAAGGAAAACAGTTTTTTAAGTAAAGAAAATAGTGCTATTTAGTTGTATTTAGTAGATCGTGCATGCGGTACGAAAATTAAATTGAATTTGATACAATACTGTCAATACCGTCTTGCTTCAGGTCCACTTTTAGTACAAATTAGTACTACTTAGATTTTGTACAGTTGCACGGTTTAAGTGCGATCACTCGAAGCAATTCAGTTAGCATAATTTACAACCATTTTAACGGGACTTTCAGGCCGTGATATCAAGGTTTTTCGAAATATTAAATTGCCCGTAATATCAGAATGTTCGTAATATTGGGGCGTTCGTTATATCGGGGTGTTCGTAATATCGGGGTGTCCGTAACTCCTGGCAATATCGGTGTTTTCTTATTCTCCCGGTGACCTTAATATCGGGGTGTCCGTAATATCGGGGTGTTCGTTATATCGGGGTGTTCGTAATATCGGGGTGTCCGTAACTCCTTGTAATATCGGTGTTTTCTTATTCTCCCGGTGACCTTAATATCGGGGTGTCTGTAATATCGGGGTGTCCGTAATATCGGGGAGTCCCTAATACCGGGCTATCCGTGATATCGAGTGTCTCAAGTGTAACTGCATTCATTTCTTCAGATTCTCAAGGGAAGAACGCTTTTAGGATCCTGGCTGCCAAGCACGAGATCGATGTACCCCTGGACCGTCTCTTCCCGCCACACCCTCAKAAGGAAAAGAARCTGSTTCCCTTTCGTGAGCTGTTGTCTTTAGCCCGAGCGAATTTGCGTGTCGTAGTGGTATTTGCACCAGTCTGGGCCGTCAAAGAACTTTTGTTCTTCGCACGAAGAACCAAAGGCCTCGTACTTGAAGAATGGGCATGGATCTTCTCAGATCTCGGGAATAATGACGTACGTTTCGGGCTATCATAGTATTTTATATAGGCGAATAGTTTGTTTACATTTTGGTTCATTAACATATCATTAGCATAAACATATAACGTTTTAACTATCAGAAAATCAAACTGAATATTGAAACAACATTTATTTTTTGGCATTTTATGAAAAGTTCTCTTGACTCCCTCGACGATAATTCCTGAATAGGTATGACAAAGACAACTTTTCTCTTTGATGTCTTCCTTGCTGAGCAWTTTTCTCCATCTATTGTGATCACGTGGGAATGTTATGACCTAGCCAAAGCCTCGCTTTGGTTCTGCAGAACCTACATCTTGAGAAAAGGCCATTAAGACAGAGAGCACTGAAAAAACTAGAAAAAACACGAACGTATAAGATTGTGGTCTGCACCACACATTGTTTATTCACGACTTTCAACAATGGAACGATATGTCACGGTCGCCGACCAGGGCACTGGGGACGAAGCACTAAAACGAGGTCTCAAAGGCCAGCCCCCGTATAGTTAACTTCGATGTTTTTTTGCAAGAGTGTTTTGTTATAAATAACATACTAATACATCTTTGAAACTTTGAAACACTACATACAGTGATTTCTAGATTGAAAGCCTTTGAGGTCTCGTTTCCATGATTCGTCACTAGTCCCCCGATATTAGCGCTCATGAACTATCGCCATTTTTGAAAGTCGTGCATTAGATGACACAGGCAAGTGATGTTTTATTTTACATTAGAAAGAATTGATGGGTCCCGTCCGTGTCACTCCACCAGACATGAGAGGACTTATTGGCTTACGAACGGCCATTGGCAACCCAAAGGCATTCTCAGTCTTACAAGAAACGTTTGATAAGAAGACGCAAACGTTTAATCGGACTACTAAGATAACAGTGAGTTATAATTATCAATATCGTTTTATTATAAAAACTTCAATGAAATACCAGGAAATCTCTAGCGCGAAAAAGTGATATCTTTCACATCTGACAGAAGTACTTCTGACATCTGAGAGTAACACGTTACTATGGAAACTCCAAACAAAATTGTTCTATTTTTTAGATCATAGAATCCTTGCATGTGACGTCATAGAAGATTCAACAAAACACTTTTGCCCTTTATTTTTTTGTCCTCCAGTTGGAGTTGTATTCCCATGAACTGCAAGGGGTCTATAGATATAAATCTGAGTTTATATAATATACTCTAATTGATCGTTTTCAACTATTCCCATGAGATTCACAAGATAAAAGACCGGCGGCCATGTTAGAGGAATGAGGAATAGATACTAATGAGAAATCCTTTGTTAAACTTCCTTCAAGATGGCGGCTTTGACGTAACTTGAAAACGAAAAATATACGCTGATTTAAAGCTGACGGATTAGAATGACGGATTGAAGTGGGCCTGCTCTGCTCTGTTTTTCTCTGCTCTCGTCTGCTCTACTCTCCTTTCCTTTGCTCTTCTTTTTTTCATTCTTATTCTCTTTTTTTTTTCAAGCCGTCAGCTGGCTACGTGTATGACTCGGTTCTTATGGCAGCCAAAGGAATCCAGAACGCTTTAAAAGAAAACATACAGTTGTCAATATCGGGGTCCTCATCTCCAGGGATTTGTTTATCCAACGAGCCAAGCAAGAAGAAAACAAATGGTCTCTATGACATGATCAAAAAGGTATCTCCAAACATCGTTTCTTTACKTAATCGCTATCACTTTACGTAACCGTGATTTGTCAACGTAACTGCGGTAACTTTACGTAACCGCGATGCAGGCGGGTGTTTACAATCATTCATAAAGGGTGTTTAGAATAACGTGGGTTCCACCCTTGTAGGTGATCACCCAAACTAGCGAGGTGTCCAAACTAGGTAGGTGTCCAGAATAGCTGGGTATCCGAACTAGGTGGGTGTCTAGAATAGGTGAGTCTCAATACCAGTAGTGGGTGTCCAAAATAGCTGGGAGTCAGAGATAACATGACATCCATCATAGCTTATCTGAACTAGCTGGGTGTCCAAACTAGCTGTGAGTCCAAACTAGCTGAATTTTCTAAAATAGCTGGGTGTCTGAACTAGTTGTGTGTCCAAACTAGCTGAATTTTCAAAATAGCTGGGTGTCTGAACTAGTTGTGTGTCCAAACTAGCTGAATTTTCAAAATAGCTGGGTGTCTGAACTAGCTGTGCGTCCAAAATAGCTGTGTGTCCAAACTAGCTCTGTGTCCAAACTAGCT